TAACCATCCTTTACCATGTAAGCTCATGTAGTATTGTAGTATTTGACACAAAATGTAAACTAAAGTTCTAATCAGCATATGCAAAATTAAAAATATATTTCTTGTCATATAAACAATAAATAAATCTACTTTTGCTTTTCAGTATCATGGTCGTGCATTGACTTCTTGTTTCTTTATATGACATTGGAGTTCTTATTATAAATTTTAGTACTGCACAAGTATGGGTCTTCTGCACGTTAATATAAACCCTGATGCAAGATTATTACTTATTTTATTTTATATTGTTTCTAAGTTTCTGTGTTTCAGTCTTCTTTTTCATTTTTGTTTAAAGATAAGGAATTCCTAACAAAATATTCTAACATAAGCACTGACATAATTCATAACTGTGCAGCTCTGTGATTGATTTTGTTAGTTTGTGTAAGAAAGACTCAGAAAACATTCACACCCCAAGCAACTTGAGCTACTTGGCCTATGTCCACATTTCACGAGAGACAAACAAAGAATTTGTTCTGATTCATTAATTTTTGTCGGAAACATTGCCTATGGAAGAGTTAGATAGGTAGTATTTGCACATTACAACTTCAAGGAGCTATATTTTAATATTATTATTTTTTTCTCAAAGAGTATTAGGTGGGTTTTCTTTATAATGTGGAAATCATCAGGATAAATTACAAAACAATATTAAATTCTACTAGACCAACTGAGTTTAAGCAAAGAAGTAAACAGTATAGATGCAATGTGTGACACAAAATGAAAACAATGTTCATCTATGTCAAAGACAAAAGCACAGTGTGTATGCATGCTTTTTGGCACTGGATGGTCTCTTTCACTGGATTTATGAATTGACTAACTGATTGTCTTTCTTCGAGATGTCGTCTCTTTAACCAACTCACTTAAGAGCAGGAATTGGAAAATTTACTTTACTAATGTGTATTTAAGAATGTCAAATTTAAAATTTCTCACTTAATGGTAAACGTCAGATTTAACTATAACGACTAGCGTTACTCAAGTGACTGGTAATTCTAATTGAAATATTACTGGAAGACAATGGGTGTCGTAAATGTCCAGCAATACAACAATGTTTACTCAGGGTAGAACAGGTATTTTCACCATAGAGTGACAAAGGAACAAAGGCAACTAGAACAAAATGAACTAAACGATTTATGGACCACATGTTATGCTTAAAATGCATAGGATAAGAATCAACGAAAAATTAGAAAGATTATACATTCAAATAAGATTGTAGAAAACGCATTACGATATTCTGCAAAAGTCATATTAGTTTTTTTCTTACGTTTGGTTCTACATAATGGTTTATTTCAGTGGCGTGCAGAGGTTCTATGATGCCCGGGGCCTTGTACCTAAGACCTTGAGGAAGGACGGAAAGGGTTCTACTATTCGATTCGACTCTTTGCGTTGGATACCCTCCCGATATGGATGCCCGGGGCCCCGGCACCTTTCGCCCCCCTCTGCACGCTACTGGTTTCTTTGTTTGTTTGTAATTAAGCACAAAACTACACAATGGGCTATCTGTGCTCTGCCCACCAAGGGTGTCGAAACCCGATTTCTAGCGTTGTAAGTCCACAAACATCCAGCTGTGCCACTGAGGGCGCTATATAATGACAACAAGATTCAAATGTTGTACTAATAACACAACTTTTGTATAAAAATAAGACTCACCAATTGTCGTGTCATTTATTATTGATTTCTCCTTTGCCTTAGCTGATGAAAATATGTTGTTTGCTGTATAATTTTAATTCTTAGAGTCTGTTTCCATCTTATACAAAATTTTCTTCACGAAAAATCTCTTTTGCCCTTTATATGGAGCATTTATATTTATATTCTACATTTAAACAAAATAGATTCACAACAATAGTGTAAAAATTATAATTATTATTATGTGAGCTTTCGGTACATATTATACAGTTATTAAACATAAAATCTTTTGTTTAGGACGGTACTACATCAGAGGGCGACTTTGTTAACTGATGAATAAGACACATGGTTTGAATTTATTAGTGTAGGCTTGGTAAGTTTTATCTCATAAGTTTATATATGTATATTCCTGTTATACCTTTAAATAAATGTTTTACATCCAATTGCTATTCCAAAATGTTTTGAAAACATGACATCACAGTGTTAGTCTTTTTGCTTGTGCTTTGTTGAAACAAGTAATTGGACTTGTTTCATATCCTGCTTACAACTTTCATCACATCCACAGTTTACACAGTTCCAGTGAGTGTATCATCACTGTATCGTGTATTTAATACTAATAGTACTAGTACACTGACTGCAGTTAGTGAGTTACAGAACCAAAGAGTCTACTTAAGCTATTCGCACGCAGCTAAACTACTTTGTCATCTAAGTTAGTGGTCGTACGTTCTTCTTTGAAAGTTCGTTTTAAACGTTTTGTTCACGCCTGCTTGCAAACATTTGAAACAATATACAATATTTATGTGATTTACTTAAGTATCACTAGTAACTAAGTAACAATATCACAACTAATGCCACGAATATACGGATAGTGACACTGATACTGTGACAGGATAAAACTTAAGTTAAAGGACAATGGGTGTGATTTATGACTGGTTCACCAGTGTATGCCACTTGGTCATGACATAAAATTTTATGAATATTACTATAATTCATATCTGGCAGCATTTTATTTTCATTTATCATTTACATTGACCTAATCATTTAACTTCATTATAAGTGTTGTGTTTTGATTTTTTTGAAAGAAAGAAATATGGTATAGTTTCTTTTCCCACAAAAAAGTAATTGTGCCCCTGTATTTCCAAAAAGAAGGTTCCTGATAAGTTTGGGTATTATTGCTAGTACACTCAGAATTAGAGGTATAAGAAGTAATAAAAAATATGATTTGGTCATTTAAGTGAGGTTTATGGCATTTAGCCAATAAGTATAGGGGTTTTTAGAATTGGATACTAATTCAATGTGGTTATGGCTGTCAAACTCAAAGCATGATATAATGACAGCCAATAGTACCATGATAGACTTAGATATGATGGATTAGACCTAAACCAACAAATCATAAGAAATAGTTGAAGAAATAGTTTAAAAACGTTCTTACACTGCAAAACAAGGTCAAAATGTAACGGCCCTGAGTAAGAGTGGCTTTGATGTTGAAAGACTTTTTATCAATTTTAGGAGTTTCGTGGTATTTTTCAGAAGAAGAGATCTAATCCTAAACTTGATTTTATGTTTATTAATTGTTGAAATATAATTCCATCACAACTTCTAAATTTAAATACTTAGATTTGATAAATCACAATATAGAACAATGTACAAGATAGATAAAGATGAGAATAATGTACTTAAGGTCCAAATTTTTTCCTGAATCATACATCAATGTTAATTTAGAGAAATGTGGGATTGGATTATTGTATGAAATGGTTTTGAAACTTGATGTTACCAAAGAAAAGAAAGGATGATTCTTGAGTATGGATGCAGATAGATTATTCTGAAACAGAAGAGATAAAATTTGCTTATCAATCACTGAGGCTCATAATGTTATTGATACAGTAGACATTTTTAATAAAGATGGAACATTTGATCCTTCAAGACTGTCCTAGTGCATGTATCCATGAAAAAATGAAAACAATACTTTTAATTTTCAGGAAATCATTGATCCTCCCCTCTTAAACTCCTGTGTTTGTGTTAAACTGCTAACGTTCAAAAAAAGTTGATGCTTATTATACCTTCATCATACAAATGAAATATTTCCATAGCAAGCATAGAAAATTTAACAGTGTTGTTAATACATTAATACTGTACTATCTGAATAGACTTTTCAAGTTTTATTCTTATTCATTCCCTGATGGTCTTCAAACTTTGTAAGATAAAGTTACAATTATCAAAAGTTTTATTTTACAAAATAAATTGAATTTATTATAATTTCTATGTTGTTTTACTTTAAATTTAAGCTACATGAAGAATATTGAAAATGCTAAGTTTTTACTTTGGCTAAGTACATGTTGGCATAATAAATATAATGAGTTACCATTATTCATTTCCATTTGTTGATTGTAAAGTATAGTTATAGGTAAACACTTTCCATTAATTCTGTAAACATACTTATGAGCTTGTAAACTAATACTGAATTGTCTCGAAAAGGGTACACAGTATTGTTGCAGCAGGTGTTTGATAAGTGAATAAATCTTTCACTTTTTTCTAAAACATTCCACAATGCATGAGTGTATTGTTTTAGAAATATCCAATATCCTGTATACCACTGTGCACTTGTGTGGTGTTTGGGTGTTACACATTAGACACTGTAGGTAATGCATTATTGTTTCCCATGATAACTTAGTTAATCTGAAATACTGTTACATTGGAAGTTAATTATTTTGATGCAATATGTAAAAAAGGTAGGTGTTATGGTTAAACATGCAGGTTTTAGAAATTATGTGTAAAAAACAATTTTTTAAAGGCGATTGCAGCCTTTAACCCAGTGCACACAAGTCATTGTGGAGCAGTTTGAAAAGTTATTGCATATTTATAGCTTATTTATTTTTTTTAGTTTTGAAGAAACCACTCCTCCCAATTAGGAATCTTATAGAATGCATAATCATTTCTGATTCTGTCAGTTAATTTTATAGCATATATCCTCAGTTCATATCTAATCATATATATTGGTGGCAAAGAAATCTTTAGTCTGAATTTTGTGAAAATTACTAAGTACTCTTCTTCTGTAATAAATTGTAGTGAGTGCAGACTAAACATTTTGAGTTGCTATTTCTAAAATTGCTATATGCTTCATCTTTTAAGTAACTAATCAAACTAGAGTTACATCTAAAGTGTGATAGTGGGGACTGCTTTTTTTGCTTCGTCTTGCTGCCCTTTTTGACCTATCCATTGACCAATTGCTGTGCCTTACTGCCTTTCTAATTGTAATCTGTTAGGCATGAGTTGTTTATATATAGAATAAACAGCTGATATGGATTTAGAAAACTGTTACTTAATGCATATAAAGTAAAGTATGACACGTGCCTTAAAGTTATTAAGCCGTGCTCGTGCCACCCTGCCCTTTTTTTTGCTGGGTATAACACTACAATCTGTCACTATAATACTATTTCTCTTTTCAGTTCCACATAATATTGTACTTCTCTTCTTCAACAGGTTTTCTTTTCTCTTAGACTACTTTTGAAGATTGAAATGTTATAATTATTTTTTGTGGTTTATTGCTAACACATTGTGACACTTAGATAAGAAGTATACATATTTTTGTATTAACATTTCAAGTGTTCCATTATCATTATGCTTCAGTATTATGTCTTCAAAAAGATGTTTGAACTTGATAAAACATTGAAGCAAATAGTTATTTTTTAAATGAATATCTTTTAGTGTTGTTATCTAATTCAAATACATTATCTTCTAAATTGTTTTGCATCATGACACATGTGTAATATGAGCTTTGCTTATTTACTTTGTCTTTTATTTAAATTTATTTCCTAACCATATCAGTTACAATTTCAAATATACTGAGTTAAGAGTAAAAATATTTTTGTGAAGGTGTTATAATCAAATACTGATGGCAGTAAATATCTTTTTTTTTATGTATATGTTAACCCAAGAAATGTTTTTTTTTTTAAATATTACAAAATTTAAATTGCTATATATCTTTATTATTTGGTTTTCTCTTTAGATTTTTTGTCTAAATATGGGAAACAGATAAAAACTTACTTGAACTTGTTGGGGGACCTTTTTATGTTATTTGTTTGTATATCATTTGTAGAAATGACATGACTGCTTAGTAAGAATGCCAACAACTTTCTTCTTGCCTTTTTATTTCCAAAGTGCAACAGAACTTTTCACCCCTTAACTTGTGCTTCTTGTGAATAGATTTTTGTTTTTCAGAGCAGTAATTTATTTAAGTGGATTCAATTAGATTTTAAATAAAATATATTTAAAGTTTTATTCTTTTAGAAGTGTACAGAATGTCATCATTATCGGCGTTTCCATCTCCTCCACATAAAGGCCAAGTAACACTTTGTGAAATTCAAAGCCATCTTGTATCAGGTTCTGCAGATAGTGATGTACATCAGTATACTGATCAGGTGAGATATTTTGTGAATATGTGTCTAAATTTCTACATAAAGTTCATTTATATTAGTTTGTTTATTATTGGATATAAGAATCAAAATAAAATTATGGAGTTTATATGTATCATATTTAAGTTAAATTTTAACATGTTTAGACTGTATAGGATCCTCTGAATTGTCTTTATGACATTAAAGATTATATTTTTTAAGATTCTGAGCAATGTAAAAGTGCCTACACCAGACATTAAAAGATTATGTATTTTAAAACATGTGAGATATGCTTATTACAATGGTTCTCAATCTTTTAAGATTTTTTTGGACCTTAACCCTCAATTAGTCACGTGGTAAAATGGAACACGTGGTTGCCTGGGATCATTATGACCCCAATGCAGTATTTAAATTATTATGAAGCTCAAACTCTTATGTTTTTTATTGTCCAAACCCTTATTTGTAAGCAATATAGAATAATGAAAGCCTTAGATTATGGCTTATGATATTAAAAATTATTACAGTGGCTGTAAGTCCTTTCCTAGCCATCTGTATAAAATATAAGCCAAAGTGGCAATATGAATATTTACAAGAAGTAATTAAATTAGAATCAAATGATTAAACAGAAAATGCCAGAAAGAAGAGGTATAGAATAAAAAGACATCTTTTAGCCATGAACTAAAAAAAAATACATAAACTTAAGTAAATTAAAATCACAGAAAAACAAACTGACCTTACAAAAAAATTATAACCCAAGTAGTCACATGGGGTAAATATGACCCCAATCTAAAACTTTGCAAAAACCTAAAACTGCAGAACACTGATGAAGACTGCAACATGGACAGACATACAGTTAAGGAAGCTACTGTGAGTGGGACTAAGTAAAGTGCCATCTATCACTTAATAATTAATTAAAGAAATTGCATGGGATCATAATGACCTCACGTGAATAATTGAGAATTAACCTAATCTAGCATCGTGTATATTGATGAACAATAATAGTTCTGGTGAAAACAGTAAATACTAGTTTGTCAAAGAATATTGGACTGATTTTAATTAAAGTAATATTATAAAAAGGAGAAAAATGTGTTTCTTAAGTATTTAGTAATTTTAATATAATAATTAGAAAACAGGTCTAGTTAGGTGTTATCAAGTTCAACATGCTTTATAATGAACGTTATTAAATGTTATTAAACTTGTGAACAGTATTAGCTGTAATAAAAAATAAGATTTAATCTTTTGCATGCAGGATGTATAGTTCTGTTAATTTATCTTGCATTGATATACGTGTATAATTATGATTTTACAAGTACCAGCTTTAATTTGTCAATATGTATGAAATGCTTTCAAACATGAATGAAAGCCAGACAGACAAAACTTGAAATAAATTATTTGACATCATTCTTTTTTTTTACTTATCTTTTTATATATTTTATGTAACTTGTTTTATAATCCAAGAGGAGAGCATCAAATGGAAAAGAAACATTCGAAGATGACAATATAATAGTAGGAATTTTGGGTGAAACTCGTGTGTGGTCAGAGTTTAGAGAATCTCATTCTTAACCCACTCGTGCTAGAAATGAAAGTAGATTATTTTGATTAAGATTTAGAACAATGAATTTTATATTAATGGCTATCTAGAGCCCTAGAAAGTTGAGGGTGTTATGCACAATGTAATTTGCAAGAAAATTTGTCAGCTTTTTAAAAACTTTGAACTCTTTTGCTGTAGCAGAGTTTTTATCAATTTTGTTTAGGAGTTCTTTGAGCAGTTGGGTGGCATTTCTAGTCAGTAGCTTAGATGACCTTGGTGATAGTAATTTTTATGTCATTATTGGACTCTGGCTAAGTTGGCTTATAGTTTCAAGGGTTGTCTGGGTTTGATGGTTGTTTGTAGAAGTTTTTGTTTTGAATCTTATACGTATCACATTTGTCAGCTGGAGTTTGAGTCTGTTGATCTGCATTAAGGATTTGGGTTTTGTTAATCTATATTTTGAATTTAGTGTGCTATCTTGGTGGAGAAATGATGAGATATGCCCTGGAGTAAAGGGTATAGTGTTTCAAGGCTAGGTGTTATATTTTTTTGCATGTAGTTTCTTGGCCTTGAAGTGGAAACATTTGACGAAATAATCATGTTGAAGTATTTGATTTGGTAGCTGATGAAAGTTTACCACTACTTTGACCAAAAAAAAAGGTTATCTAGTTTTGATGGACACAATACTGTGGACGTGGGTTGATAGATCATCTTCTAGAGCTTGTTTAGTTTCCTGAATAGTGATAGAAATGCCAACGTTTCATAAAATACTGTATAGGCTGATGCTGCTTATGGAGGGTATGATATTTTAATTGCACTTGTGAATTACAGGGAAAGCTTAGATAAATGATATCTTTAGGTGTTAATGGTTGAGCAAAAATATCCTCACATTTGCATTTTTGTGTTTTGTGTACTTGCAGTTTAATAGGAATACTGATGAGTTTTTATGAGATCACAAATTTGTTGTAAGGAGTATGAAGTTTATAGACCATAAGTAATGATGAGATGTCATATCAGAAAGTAAATTGGAAGACTTGTGTGTCTGTGTTGTGAACAATTTGGGCTCAACTGGGATCTGAAGCAACTTTCATTTATGCTCTAAAAAAGTTTACCTCAACCAGGATCTGAAGAGGCTTTCCATCATGCTTTACAAATGAATAAACATTTCTAAGATTTGTGCATTTAAGATGTAATTTGATTTTCTTGAGAATACAAATTTCTTTTAAATTTAAATTTTATTTTGTTACATGATGGTTTATTTTAGGTTAGCCAGTATCCCAGAATTGACCTGAGTACAGAAAGTCTGAGACCTTTTGTGTGTCGAGAAAATTCTAAGAATGCTTTTATGCATCATAATGAATCTATTGCCAAAAAAGTATTTGTCTCATGGTATGTAGTCACTTATATTTACATTTAAATAACAAAATGTTTGAGGTACACACTTAAGTTTTGCGATGTAATATTTTCTGTATATAAATAACATACATCATGATACTTGTAAGTTTGATAAACTTCTTATGTTGCACAGAAATTGCCTTTGTGCCAAAATTCTAATCATCCTAATTACTAGTGATATGCAATTTGTGACTAATTTAGTTGATTACATTATAGGCTTAGCTCTTCATGGTTTCAGAGTATGCTAGTCAATAACATCAACAAATATATTTTTGCTGTGATTGGTTTATAAATCATCCAAATAGAGTAAAGAAAAAAAGATAATTCAGTCAGCACATTGTTGTATTCACAGATGAAGTTCATCTCTTGTGAATATGTTTTACTGGATATCATTTCTGAAGTGACAAGTCTTCTTTGTATTTTTAAATTGTCAGTTAGTAGTACCTTTTCAGTTTAATATATATTGTTCTTTTATTTTTTCCATAGGCAGGAGCAAGGTGTTAAAGGAGTTCTTGTGGAATTAGCAAATAATGAAGGAGATGGTGCCTGTTAGTATTTATGGTGTTTTTTATTGGATTATGTTTTTACATATTTCAATAACATTTTATATTTTTATTTCTTATGAAATGTTTAGAACCTCAAATTATACAACAAATACTCATTTTGAGGTAGTATGTAAGAATAAAAGTATACTGAGAAATTATGTACAAAATGTTAATCCTAATTTTGCTTACAAATTGCACATGGTTTTCATAAATCCAGTTTTTTTTTTCTAAAAACCTTGTTCTTTTATGAGTTGATAGGAAAATTACTGAAAATCTTTTTTAATTCTAGAAATGATGTTACAATATTTAGTAAAAAAAGTTTAAACTTCAGACATTGAAATAATTATTTTGGTTAAACTATGGTGTCATTTACAAGAAGAAATGGTAGGGTGTTATCAGGAAAAATTACTACTAATTGGTGTAAATTGAAGTAGATTGATGTTTAATGAATGTTTCTTAAAGAATACAGAACTTTTCTTATAGTAACTTAAATGAATATGACTATTGCTTTATGTTTCTTACAGCATGTAGGTAGAACTTTTACTTAAACATTTTATGGAAACAGGATTAATCTAAGTTAATTTTTATACATTTAAATCTAATGTTTACAAATCTGAGTAATTTGATACAGTTTTGTGTTTAGTTATATTATGATCAATATTTAAAGAACTTTTACTTTTTAACTTCAGGTCATTATGATATAGCTGGTTGAGAATATTAGATTATATTTTGATATCTTCATAATTAAGTAATTTGGACAAATATAGATGTAAATGTAACAGGTTGTTACATTATTTGGTAGTTTCAATATTATAGCAAAGATTACTTCTATAATACTTAGGAAGTACATAAGATCATAAAAGTAGATAAATCAGTTAAGGAAACTTGTATACATTTTGTTCAGTGATAGAGCACTGGCTTTGTTAGCCAAATGTCCCGTGTTCAAGTCCTGACCTTAAAATCTTTTTCACTTAAATATCTTTACTATTATTCTGCTTGTTTGTATGTACGACCGATACGCTTTCTGACCGAGAACCTGCTGCATAAGCATGCATAGTTAGAATGTTTCCCCAAGAAACACCGTGCATGTGCATTATTCACTCGATGACAAACAGTCTGTCTGCGGCAGAGAGCTGCAAAGCTCAGTGATCAAGTCGCTATAATTGCTGTATGAAACAAGAAGTAACAACAAAAGGGGAATGTAAATATACTTTACTAACCATTTTGTACAACATAATATTAAAAACTTATCAAAGTTTTAAAAAAGGTTTGATGTTAGGTCATAGAATAACATTATAAGTTTATTTATTGATAGTATTAAGTACAGTAAAGTTTTAGTCGTAGCTAAACTAAAGTAAAAACAAAACAAAA